AAACCTTTTAAATGTTTAGAAATCTTTACTGTATTTTTTACTTTTTACTGCCGGTTCTGCTTCTTACATCTCATTTAGGCTTTGTTTCCCTGTTATTTCAACTACGTTTCTGCTCATTTCTACAATTCTGCTTATTTAAACTTTTTTGTGCTTATTTCTGCTTTGCATTAGCCATGTTAGGTTTTCTGTCTTTTAGGCTATTTTTGTCTGATTTCAGTTAATTTGAGTTTTTTTACTACTAACTTCAGATTCTTACTGCATAATTCCACAAACAAGTTTTTTCTGCTATTTTCAGCTCATTTCAACGTTTCTAAGTAGTTTTATCACAAATTGCAACATTTATATATTTCTTTTCTTGTTTTATTTTTTACCATTTTACCATCTGTTTGCTGTAAATCCATCTTGTTTCTGCTATTTTATCTATATTTCTGTTCTGTTTAGTTTTTTTGACACATTTTTGTAATTTTTTTGTAATTTTTCACTTATTTTATTTTTTCAGCTGTTCAAATTGAACTCACATTAAACCGTTTTGCTACTAAACACTTTCAAATGGAAAATCTCTGGCTTTTTTTACATTTATTTAATCAGGCAAATCCCARTGAGATCACAGAACTCCTTCARAGGGGAAACCTGGGTCTGAAGGCAACATGCATGTTTTTGGTCTGTGGGCAGAAACTGGAGTTCCCAGAGAAAACCCACACAAGCAAAGAGAGAACATGCARACTCCACCAGAACCATTCCCAAACAGAACCCAGGACCTCGCTGCAGGGCTAACCACTGATCCATCGTGCTGCACAACTTTCACCCAGTCATGATGATGCAATAAATAACCCTTTTCTTTTTGGTGAAGGAGGATTTGGATCTGTTGCATCAGGAGCAAACTTCCTCACCAACAGCAGGAAAAGGTGTGACACTTTAAGGAAATAAAGAGAACTGGGTGAAGGGATGAAGAAATGAGGAGATGGGAGGTATTTTGCTTGTGGGTGAGAAGCTGTACTCCTGTTCTCCCTGTGGGTGTTCCTGTCGGGGCTCCAGAGAAGCAGAATTAATTCAGTTAATTGGCTCTTAGAACTGATATTTCTTCTTTAGGCCACAGAAAGAACTCCCCTCTGCTGTCTCAACACATGAATCACACATATTTAGACATTTCAGCTGCACAAAGATGCCTTCAATTCAGTTAATTATAGTATTCTGTGCAAAGTTGAAAGGTTGATTCCATTCCAAACTGGCTACAGAACATCACGTACCACCTGGATTATGACCAACTGCCATAACTTAAATGAATCACATGGCTCTTCCACTCCCTCAAAAAGGCAGGATATGAGTAAACCCTTCCCTCCTATATTTTCTGGACAAGTGATGAATGTTTTGTTCATTTCTTTAACCTGCGACCCACTGGACACTCTCTGAGGCAGCAGGTTTAACCTTTGTCTGTGGTAGGAGCTGAAGCCAGCACAGTTCAGGATTCAGGCAAAAGGCCAGTTTGGAAACTTTACAAGATCCAGAGGATTGTATTCCCACATGAGCAGAGGTGGAATTTTACCCAGTTTGCTTTGTGACAAACTGATCTGAATAGAGTCGCTGCAAACTGGTGTTGACCATGAACAGAAATGTCCTGCTGTCTGGCCAAATTTTATACTAATCATTTGCTAAATGCCTCGTGCGTGTGGGTGTTGCAAAGTAAAGAAACAAAACTGATTGCTGGGATTAATAATCTCTCTTCAAACTCATAAGAAGACACATGTCCAACTCAAGGCTCGCARGCCAAATGTGGCCCAYCACARCATTTTCTGTGGCCYGTGAGAGCTGCAATGATGCATTAATGTCTTACAGATGCTGCTTTAAAGCCARCACTGACCATAAACWRCATCTCCYATAAAATRTGTTGATTATTTTACCCTCGAAATGACAGCATCCTATCACATCGTGGCCCAGTTGTACCRGAAAGTGGTAATTTCCCATTTACAAGTCGTAAGTTTAAACTGGAACACCCCTCCAGTGGGAATTCTCTGTCATAAAGTGGGAGAGCTTAGAATTCAACATGGCAGCTRCACACCACAACTCAACMGTGAGTAAAACTCTTTTAGTTTTACTTTTAAAAGTATTTATTAGGGGTGCAACAATACATGTACCCGTATCAAACCGTACAGAACCGTATCGAATCATACCGATTTAAAAAATTTACTTTATCCTCTTGTCTTCTGAAGATGCTCTGTGTTGAAGGATCAGTGGATCTGTGTTCGACTACTGCACGTAGGCTGCATTTTTGAGCGCAGGTCCACTGAGAAACTTGCTGTTTCAGCAAAATTTAATTTAAAAACTGTACTTTTGAGATTAAACAAATGTTCATAATTAATATAAATAAATTACAAGTTAAAAGGGGCATGGACGTTTCTCTTTTTTGTATCGAAAAAATATCGAACCGTGAGACTAAAGTATTGAACCGAACCGAACCGTGTATGTGTCAAATATGTAGTAGTTTTCAGGGATTACAGGAAGACGTGTTAAACTGCTATCTCTATGCAGGAAATACCAGGTAGAGCTCAGTAATTGTTTGTTAGTGATGCTCAGCCTTATGAGACGAGGAACGTGACACTACCTGTTTAGTCAAAGTTAAACGTGAAACATTGAAGTTAATTATGACTGGGCGTTTGAGGACCACCATAATGCTCATGTGGCCATTGGTGAAAATGAGTTTGACACTCCTGCATTTGAACGATTTTAGCAGCTGGTGATGATAAACACCTGTCAGATGTTCTTAGATCCTATAAAAGCTCATTTGTTTGTTTCAGCGCAGACGGCCCTTCAACTCTGATGACTCATTTTAACTGGAAACCAGGCCGTCTGATTGTGGTTTTCCTGACTTTTAGTGCAGCAGACACTTTGCCTCATAGGTCCACAGACAAATTCTCTAAAAATCATAGCTTGTCTTTGGCTCTGACACATGTATCATCTTTAAACGAATTTATTTAGACACCAAGACAGACTGAAATCACTTTAAGAACCAATGATAGAATCTGTTGGAAGATCTGACTATTTTGACTATCTTGGAAACTGCTTCTCCTTTGGTATTTTGTAAAAATGGGCACAGATTGTAAAAAAAAAAAAAGATTTAAAATTACACCTAAAAGGCTGAAAACTCAAGCTAGTCTGGAAATTTGTGTCGGCTCAGTTGGTGACCTTGTCCCATCAGTTCGTCTGGGAGCACGATACACATCCTGCTCAGACACAGCAACCTGTTTCACAGAGACTTTATCAACTCTGTGTGCTTTTATTTAGTTTTATTTTTCTTTTAGCTCAGTAAATGCATTCCTGTCTCTTTTTGTACGTCTTATCCCCCTAAAACACTCGGAGGCAAAAACAGGTCGTTTTTTAAAGTAAAATAAGAGTTAGTATCTAAAAAATGCGACCAAAAAAATGTGTTTTGTCTTCATCCATCTATTCCTCCAGCACACACCCTCAGTACGCTCCCACATCTGCAGCTGTAAGCCCACCAGTTTACTGGTGTTTCTGTGAGGGCGGGAGGCAGGGTGGGGCGGCGGGCAGCATTTGCTAGACTCAGCTTTTATTTAGACCCGATTACTTTTTGGGCACAGTCATCGCGTGTCCTCTGTGGACCGGGATAACGCTCATTGGTGTCCGCCTCACTGGCTCCATTCAGTGGGCTCGGTACAATCGCGTGGAACTGGCAGAGCCTAACGCCTAACCCCACAGAGTCAGGCCAGCCCAGTCAGCAAGAGCAACGCACCCCTTCACCCCCACAAACGGTGAAAGGGGGGTGACAAAGGAAAAGACAGAGAGAGATAAGGGTGATTGGCAAGGAAGAAAAATAAATGTATGAAAGAAGGGGAAAAGTGGCAAGCTTTTTATAATCCAGACCGCTGTGATTGGTTAACCTCAATGACCTGTAGTCCAGATGACTGATTTGTCACTCAGGTTGCATATTTTGGATTCCAGCATGGCTCCTGGACATACCTCTCCCTGTCTACATCATGGGCATAAACAGCATGGTATTCAGATAGGTCAGCACATAAACAGAACCATCATCATAACATAAATACAACATATATTTATGGTGTAAATGCAGAGATCTAAAAAAATAATAATCTAAAAAAGCAGATTACACTGTTGGTTTTAGTTGATGGGTTATGACATCAGAAAACAGTTCTCTGCTGCTCTCTCCTGGGCTAATCTGAGAAGCCAGGTTAGATTTTGCACCAAGAAGAAGTACATGTAACTTCACACACATCATTTTAATAAACAAGCTAAATAGTATAATAATAAAACTGACTGTCTATTTATAGTGACGTACTGATTTCACATGCAGAAATAAATATTAAGTCCTCGGTGAGGGCCCTATATTCTTATCTGTCATCCAGGAAATGAGTAGCCAGTATGACATTTGTTTTTTATCTTTTATAATTCKGCAAATAACTTTGCTAAAAATACACGAAATCTCTATAATTCTTTAAAAAAACTTCAGTTTCTAATATGTTTGAAAACACACACTTTAATTTAGCCTTTTATGCTACATTTAGCTTTTAGCTACATTTCTACTTCTTTTAACTTTCAGCYAGCTTTCTGCTATGTTTAGCTTTTAGGTAGGCTTTTGATTTATTTTGACGTCTTAAAGCTGTCTTTTTGACACAATTAGCTTTTGGCTCTTTTTCCTATTTTTTAGCATTCTGCTACATTTAGCCTTCAGGTTAGCATTTGATACAGTTTAGCTTGCAGCTACCTTTTTGCTTTCAGCTGGCATTCTGTTAGGTAGGCTTGTTTTAGATACATTTAACTTTTAGCTTCTGGGYTGCTTCTTTTAGCTTTTCACTGGTGTTTTGTTAAGTTTATCTAGAAATTGGCAACTTTTAGCTTTATTTTAGCTCTTTTCTACTTCTATATTTTTTAGCTAGTGTTCTGCTTCTTTTAGCAAAGAAGCTACAACAAAAAACATCGATCTTACCTCCCTGGTATCGATTTGACACTAATTATGGCATCGACACGCCCACTCCTGGCAGCCACAGGGTTGAGACAGAAGTAGTGGCTCCTGCAGGACGGTGTGCAATGCTTTCAACACAACTGTCTTAACTTGTTCGTTTATTCGGACATTTTTTGTAAACATGACCAGCAACAAAAACCCGGACGTGCATGAAACGGACACGAAGCGGGTCCAGAGCTCCGGCGCCACAGCGGCATACTGCGCGGAGTTGCAGCGGTGGATGTGGCAGTGTTACTGGGGGAATGTCAGCTGGCAAAGCTGGGTGTCTCTGTCGACTTCCCCCTGCTTTCCTCCGCCGCGCACCGGCGCTCAAACACCGGCTGCGCCCGCCTCAAGCCCCGGAAGTGGGCAGCAGATGATGTTCGACCCGCGGAGCTGGTACGGTTACTCCGCTTTTGGACCCCCAGCATCCTCTCCTCCTCACCGGGGTGGAGCTCAGACTGATGGCCGGTCAGCTCACCAGCAGAACGGGAACCCTCATCAGGCAGGTAGGGCTCTGTCTCTCTGATATATGTCACCCTGATGTAGTGTGGTTCTTAAAGCCTTAATCCAGGTCAGGGCTTGAATGGGAAGCAGGATTAAGTAAATGAGATGGAAACAAGCTTAATGTCTGTCCTGTGTTTAGCAGCTTTCCAGTTTAATTGTCAGAGTTTATGTCTTTGCAAATACTTTACAGGGCGAGAGTACATGATTCCCTCTCCCCTCCAGAGGTTCCTTGCAGAGACCGTGGACTTCTTCATCCTGTTTTGTGTGAAAGCCACTGTTGTGTTATGGATCATGCATCTGAGTGGTATGAAGTGAGTAAAACCATTGAGGTATCTATTCTTTTTTTTTTTTTTTTTTTTTTTTTTTTTTTGCCAAACAAGCTCTTTAAACAACAACAAAAATAAAAACTCAAGTGTTTAAAGAAAGTTTATAGTTTTTCTTAAGCTCACATCAAGGCAAAACAAAAACATTGATCCTGTGGTCGCTGGAGCTGAAAAGAACCTGACTGTCGACAGAAACACGGTGAGCTAATATTTTCATTAGCACCTTATGCTAAAGAGCTACGGCTAATTTTTCGGCCCGCACACATTGAAATTTATCATTTTTTAGACGCTGGTCTGGTTTTTCTGAGGCTGAAATGATGCTAGCTGAGTGTAGGTGTGGGAACGATTCATTCATTCATTCATTCTTTGAAGACTCATCATTCATACAGGAAGTGATGAAGTGATGAACCGACAGTCAGAAATCCTGCCGACAACGCCAAAATTCTGTGGTCGCAAAAGCAGAAACACGTTGGAATAATACCAGAAGAGTCTGCGTATATGATAATCAAATATGGTTTAATTATGAGCAACAAACAAACAGAACTGAATCAGGAAGTTCTGCATGCTTGCGACTGAACGCGTCAGCAGAAKACAGCCAATAATATACATYGTGTCAACACCATGTGACAGTTTACAACCAATCACAGATTRCCAAATGTACTGTCCAGCCAATCACAAGACTCRCATCCAAAGAGTACGTTAGAGTTCAGTCCATTGTGGAGTCGTCCGGAGCTATCAGAGTGATGGACAGTGTCAAGGGGAAACAGATATAAATAATTAGACCATGACAGATCCATATCAAGAAACATTGTATTATCATCCAAACAAATCAATGTAAAATCATATTGTGGTAGAGCTAGTGATTTACACCCCTACAGCCTAATAAAGTCAATTTAGTGCATTGGATCCAAATTATACCTCCCAATCTAATGGTCTTCTCTTTTAAGGGACATTCCCAAGTTTATCACCCACTTTATCGTTGAGGAGGTGGATGAGAACACGTCCATCGACGACCTTCAGAAAATGATGGCCGTGGCGCTGGTCTACAGGGTCCTGGTGTGCGTCTATGAGGTATGTCACAGTTTGATGCAGGCTTGAGACGACGTTGTGTGATTCCTGTATAGCTTGTAGCGTGTGTTTGTATGGATTCATGATTGTCTAGGACAAATTTCCCCAGTTTTAGTTGTTTTAAAGAGGCTACGCCTGAAAATGTATGTTTACCGATTTTAAAGCTGTTAATGAAAGGGATGGTTTTGCTTATTTAAGCAAGACAATACCACAGTACAAGCTGCTTGTATTAAAACAAAATGGCTAATGTAGTAAAACCTTTTGGGTTGTTACATTTTGGCACATGCAGTCCAAACTTTTGATCTATCAGAAAACAACAAATTGGTTATGTATATATACTTGGTGCAAAAAGTATGGAAATTTGTGTTTTGTTGTAACAATGCTTCTTGGCAATAAATCTGCTAGTGGCYCCCTGAGTGGCAGGACCTGGGGSTACCAGAAGCTCAAAACAAGTGTCAATAACAACAGTAAAATAGGCTGTTAGCCAGAGAAGATTTTGCAAATATTTCATGTGYGCAACCCACATACTCAACTCTACTGCTCATCCCACAAATGCATGWTCCTTACAAATGTGACARCATYTAAAAGRGAAATTAACAAACTTTTTAACGGTATAAGRTTTATTCCCAAGAAGCATTGTTACAACAAAGAAATACTTTACTAAACACAAAGTTCTATACTTTTTGTGCTGTTTCTTTAGCCTCGGTCTTTTCGAAGTAAGCTTGAAGATGCAGTACGTGTTCTAACGATGCAGTGACCTACAACTGTAGAAAAGTTCAAATGAATTTAGCTTTAAATGTAGAAAATCCCCGTCGTGTTCTGGAACTGCTGCTACATGTTCTTATTCACTGAGCCGGGCAGAGCGAGTTCTTTACAACCCGTCGTTTCCCATGGAGGACAGTGATGCAACGCTGCGTTCAGAGTTGCCAGAGATGAAATCATGTCTCGTGTCTCTTTAACGGACGTCTGCATCAGCAGCGTTGTCTCCCCACTCGGGACCGAGCTCTGGGACGTTCTGGCACCTGAACACCATCTGCCCTGTTTGAGGTTGTTGTTTTTCAGAATTCACTTCTGACTCGTTCCCCTGTTTAACYGGGAGAAAATCTGTTGTCGCTGGTGTTAGACTTTATTCATTTAGTAGTGGCAGCCGGCTGATGACGCTGACGCTCTCGTCCAATCAGACGRTCTGCATTTGGGGCGCCGGCGGAGCGACTCCGGGCAAGTTTCTGCTCGGTCTGAGAGTGGTGACGTGCGACTCGTCCACGCTGGTGCGACCCGACCGGGTTCTTGTGGTCCCCGCAGCTGACGTGTCCCTCTCAGCGTGAGTGATGTCATGTAAGATGTTGCTGTCAGCCACACGCAGCTTATTAGGTTTTTCGTGTGTTTATTGATCTCCACAGCTCCACGGTGCGGGCGATGAACAAGAACTTCTCCATCGCCTTCCTCTTCCCCGTCTTCATCACCCTCCTCTTCTTTCAGCACAACAGAACCGTGTACGACGTGGTGGCGGGGACCATCGTTGTGCAGCGCCGAGGGGCCAGATAAGCTCCTGACTGACTCCCAGACCTGTGTGGGTCCATGTCTTTATTTGTTTCAAACCAGATTTATTTCCTCTGATCCTAACTGCACTTATTAAAAGCTGGATGGGTTTTAAAGATTTCTACAGATTTTACACAGGACTTATATATATTTTCATACCAAAGTCAAGAAATCTGTTAAAAAAGCTAAACAAACAGTAATTTCCTGCTCATAATTGAGTTTTTTTTACTTGTTTGACTTAGTTAACATTTGATCTAATGGTTTTATTAAAAAAAACATTTCTACTCCAAGAGGAAATGTTCAGTTGTCTGTTAGCCTGTGGGCCATTTCAAGTATTTTAATACAAAACAAGGTTTATTAGTTGCAAACATTCAAGATCTGTAAATTTTGTATTTATTTTTAGTCAATTGTGTGACTCAGGTCAACTTGTTACCAATTTTGTTTATTTCAGACGTAAAAATAAATATTCTGCACAATGTAAGCTTGTTCTATATTTTATTCCGTCTCAGACTTTAGAGATTTAATTTTCCCATGATGAAATTCTAGCTGGCTTTTTCTAAAACACGTTTAATTGATAATTTAACAGATTTATATTTTCACCACATGAGGGCAGTACAGATCACATGTTTAAGTTCACATTAAACTTAAAAAAAGCGTCACTACTCCTAAGAGATTTGGGAAAACGATATTTAGGTCGGCACGCTTCATTCTTTCATTTCATTGGTTAGTAATCTCTAACACAAAAAAGCTTTGAAAGAACACATTTATTGTAAAATCATGAACATATTTAATGAAATTGGTTTTATCTACTAAATTACAAAAATGCAGGAAGAATGTTTATATTTATGTAAACTTTGCAAAATGTGCATTTTTTGGTTCAATTAAAATGATTAAAGTAATAATTTCTGTTTCATAAAGTCTTTAAGGACCTGTTATATTATAATTTATAAAATTATACTATTTTTGAGTTTCGTTAAGAGATTGGCCTTGTTGCTACAAGAAAAAAGGGATTTTTCAGATGGTTCAAAGTAAGTGTCTTACCTGTTGTAGACAGCTGTTTGAACGACCTCAGTTTTTGGAGAGCTTAATGTAGTGAGATAATTAAAATCCAAAAATTAAAGTTTTTAACAGAATTAATGCTATTTTTTTTTTTAACTTTTGCATTTCACCTCAATTTCAAGCAGAAATCCTGTTTTGGATATTTTGGGTAGAACATGTGCAAATTAATAACCTTTACAGTTATAACTCACTTTTTTCAGAGCTGAATTGCAGCAGAGCCAGTTTTTTATTTTACAAGTATTGGAGATTAGCCGGGGGGCATGTTTGGTGTTGAAGTCTCAGTAGGAAGAAGTGTGACTCCTCACAATTTACAAGGTTCTCTTGTAAAACTATACAAACATTTAGTCAACCCTTTTTTTTGTTGCATAAATTAAAAAAAAAATCCATTTCAGCGTTTTGTCCTTCACACGCGAGCTTTTGTTGCTGAGAGTCGTGAGCGGCTCCTCGTGCCGGGGAACCGAGAAGAGGCTCAGCAGTAATCACGCCTCGAGTGGCTCCAACACAAGTTTCAGAGTTAGACGGAGAAAGAGAGAGAGAGGGAAAACCAACAAAAAGTGTGAGACGCTTGGATTAAGAGAGACAGATAAAAAAGCCCTAAAGGAAAAGAAAGGATTGGAAACAAACGGGAAGAGTGGAGGGGAGAATATGAAGGCGTGTGAGAGGCAAAGGGACATCATATTTAAATATTCTCTCTGATCTTTCAGCCTTGGGACCAGAGGCGATGGAATAACCCTGCAGAACTCCATTAAAATTCAACCAGCTTCACTTAAGCCTTCGGTTATTAAACAAGAGATGTTCTCTCTCTGCTGACTGCAAAAAAACTTCATCCAGGCAAAGAGATTCAGGTCCYGTTCCTCTATTTAGAGGCTTGGCTCACAGAAAACCACTGAAATGGTCCTGCAGGTGATTGCTCTTGACCTTTTGGTTTGTCTTAAAGGTACAAAATCATTGAGTGTTAAGAACATTTTCATGGTTTGTTTTTGTTCCGTAGCACGGCAGAATTGCTCCCTGAAATGTAAAAAAATATATATTTTACACAGCTTCAACAACTGTGGGCTCGCAAAATTGATAAGCTGGAAGTCCATGATAGTTTTGTAACGATACTGTGATATCATTAACAATAAGTAAATACAGAAAATAAAAAAATGGGTTAAAAAATATGACCCAAACAGAATATAAAGATATCTATGCAGCACCAGAAGAGATTAAACTCAACTTTTTTACACTCCTACAGGTAAAAAAGTGGATTTTGAGCCATTTGGGATAGTTAAAAATTGGACATTTTTGATGTTCTGATATGTATTTACTGTAGACCTGTTGAATAAAAAGTTTACAGACAAGCTTCTGTCTGAGTTAGGAGTTTACGTTGAATGCAGACCCACATTTCAGACRTGCACAAAATTACTGGAGTAAACTCAAACAGCACCATTTGACACTTAAGAATGACCTTTTTATGTTTGGTTTTGCCGTTTGCTACGAGTACTTTTAAACAGTCTGCAGTCAGGATATTCAGTAAAGGTCAGATTCTTTTCCTGATAAATGCTGTTTTATAAGGCTGTCCCTTAGACACTTCACAGACTCTCATTTCAGTTGGATGCCGTCCAACAGACATCTGTTCGCGTACCAGAATACTTTTCTCCYTTTTTTTTGTCCATTTAAGTGTCTATTTCATAATAAGGCAACCATAAAGCTATAGCRTTTTTTTATTTTGATCATTTGTAACTGTGTTTATTTGAAATACATCACCCAACAGAGGGAGTSTGTCTGCACAGATTCCAGCTCCTCTCACTGGTTTGCAGGAACCRGAGTGTCGCAGGCAGCTCGGGCCAATCAGAGCACTTCTGGGACACAAACGTCTGAAGTAGTAATAATGTGGAATGTGCTGGCTCGGCATGCAGCATGTAGTACTATACTACATAGGGACGGGGGGAGGAGGTGGAGAGATAGGAGGAAGTAGTAAGCAGTCAGTGACAGAGCAGAACCTCATCCTGCTCTGTGTTAATGTGTGTTTATGGAAAGCAGTGCTGACATATTGCACCATACACAGAAATATGTTCCACCCTCTCCTCTCTTTGACCTTTAAGGCTAGTTTAAAAATAATCTGCTCAACACAACCTCAAATGGCTCAAAGTGAACAGAAGAAAACTCATATTTAAAATAATAAATATAGTACATATTATGTAAAGGAGCAAATGAGGAAAAGCGGCACTTAAAATGATAGTATCTCACCTGCTGTAGATAGCTCCTTAAATGACCTCAGTTTGAAGAAAAAKCACATTRTGTTGACGAGCTAATAGCTGATCAGAAAAACTGAGGTTGCTWAAGTGTTACAGCTACAGCAGGTAAGATACTGTTTGTTTATTAAYTTCTTTGGCATTTCCTGTTTGGTGTTTGTGCTACAGGCTATCATAGTGCAGTCACTCATCATATACACTTCAGAAATCATGTTTCACTAAATCTGAGCTCACAGCCTGCTGCTTAGTGTTTCATGTCCTCCACATTGTGTAAAGACAAAATAAGTTTGCAGGACATCACATGTAAATTTGTTCTGAAACATTTCGTCCCCTCAGTTCTGGACGTCAGCTACGTTTGGTAAAAAGGGGAAACCCCTCGTTTCTCACAGAGAATGAGTGACGCAGAACGACTCAGCACTTTTCTGACACAGAAACGAGCTCACAGGAAGAGGAGAGTGTCAGCTGCAGTCCGTGGCTCACAGCCTTGAGCTGTGCTGTGCAGCATGACTCTCATTTTATCCAGACTCAAATAAATCAGGAAACACAAGTTGCAGGATTTACGTATGCAACACGAACAGAATCGTTTTCTGTGAAACAACAGTGAACGCTGAATGTCTGCTCAAATTAGCTGAAGAAAACTGAGTWAAGGCTATGAGCAGAACACTAGCTAAAATCAAAATGAAGCAAAGCACTACCTGAAACCTACAAGAAGCTGAATGCTAACAAAAAGCCAAAAAAAGACAAATATATCTAAAAGTGAAAAGTAAGAATGTTAGCTAGTAGTTACAACTAACAAAACACTATCTAAAAGCAGCAAAAGGTTAGCAAAAAGACTAGCCAGAAGCTAAAAGTATCCAGAAGCAAGCTAAAGCTAAACATAGCAAAGCTCAAAATAAAAACATCCAAAATGTAAAAATAATTGAATATAAATATATAATATACATATGACACATATATATAAATATACCAAAACACAAACTAAAAGTATTAAAAGGCAAGATAAAAGCTAAACTGTAGCTCAAAACTGAAAACATCAGAAGAGAAAAGTAGAGCAACAGTGCACAATGCAGATTTTTACAAAGAATGCTTTTGAAGAATTTAAAATAATGTTTATTTTAAAAAAGTACAAAGTTTTCACAAGCTAAAAGTTATAGCCTCCTGTGTGAACTATTGTGAATGGTTAAAAAAATATGCAGAAGTAGTAAGAGGGCAAACAACCTCCAGAAAACAAAACAAAAACAACAGAGTGAATGCTGATGGATTCAGACAATAACCTGAATGTCAGTGAGAAGCCGAACGTGCTGACTGCCATCAGACGAACCCACGGAGAGCTCTCCTCCAGCTCCAGAGTCACCGCCGTCCATGATTAATTGATGGCGTTTTTCAGAGTCGGTACGAGCACCATCTTATCAGGCCTCTCGTCACCAGACATCTGTGGGTTGACGAGACAGCAGCATCATTGATTCCAACTTTTCAAAGGCCCTTTGAAATCAAGCGTCTGGAGGATTCGGGCCGCCGGACGTTCGAGCTCAATTCCGCTTGACGAGATAAAAATGGTGGCAGAACGAGAGGCAGAGAGCAGGAAATTACAGAGCTGATAGAGTTTTCTCTTTAAAGTTTGAATCACGGAGCAGGATTTACATTTCAGCCTTAATTTTTAAATCAGCCTCTTCTGGAATTTCTCTTTTCCTACTTTTAGTCCTCTTGAAAATGTTAATGACGAATTATAGCCAGTTTATAGATTTGTTTCAGGCTCATCTCSTATCCAGCTGCCTCCACTCTGACTCTGTGTCCTGTTTAGTGTGAACATATGGGCTCAGTGTGTTAGAGAGATAATTAAGAGACTGTTCAGATGGAAAAAAAAGTGTCTCTGATATGTGAGGTGATGGTTCACTTATTAAACCAGAACAGTTGGTTGTGTTGGTGTCTAAATTTAAGGTGGTGTCTTTGTTTCAGGGCTGCAAACCTAAGCTCAGAGGCCACCAGTGAAGATTAGCTGACATGCAGYGAAAGTGGAATCAAACACCAAAAATCGGATTCTCACAAAGCTGGAAGTGCAAAGGGTGTCATAATGTTTTGTGTTCCTGTTATATCACAGTTTCATCTGCAAAAGGAAGCAGTATGKTAATAAGTTCTAAGTCCAGAACTCAGACAAAGTGATTGTTCTTCGCACAAAGCAAGCGTGTAA